GTTCTAAATGTAATTATTTGGCAGTTCCTAGTAACATACTTTCAGGTTGCCTTTAAGAACCAGACATTAGCATTACTGTATTAAAATGATGGGCAGAAATGCATCATTCAGTAAAATTAAGTTGTAGTGTTCATACCAATGGCCTGGGACCTAGGAGATCCAGGCTCTCCCTACCCCACGATTCATTAATTTCAGAACAATCCTACTCTCTTAGCCTGACCTAACTCACAGGACTGTTCCGAAAACAATGGGGTGAAAAGTCATGCAATACAGTTTCATTTGCATTCACTGGAAAAACGCAGGTTATAATTTTAACTAAATGAACTCAGCAGGACCTTCAAGTAAACACGGAAGGGACTGCATCACAGTTAGCCCTCCTCATTAAGTGCACAAAATCCCTGCAAAAGAGGAACAACTTTTTAAAAATGTGTTGTTGTTTTTTCTGAGAGAGCATCTGCCTAGGAATCTCTTGGTTCTCCAGCACCACTTTACTGTCAATTCCTACTGAACTCTATGGTCAACTTTCACTGGAAATTGATAGAAAGAATTGCACTGGATGACTTAAAAGATTCCTTAAAAAATTGTCAGAAATCGGCAAAAGTCAAACTCTCAAATATGAAGGGTTGACTGTAGCATGGAGGTTGGGAATGCTTCTCATTTTCAACTGTCCTGTCTGTTTTCCTACTGAAATTTCAATTTTTGGATTGTACAGAATGCATTTGATTATACAGTGCTCTCTTGCTACTTCATGGTTCGCTTTTAGTGGACTCACTGTTTTGCGGGTTTTTGAAAATATTGAAATATTTACGTCCGGGGAGGCCAGGGACCCCAGAAGTGTGGCGGCCTGAGGCACAGCGGGGAAAGGCTGCCTCCCTTGCCTGCACAGACCCTGGAAGTGCGGTGGTCTGAGATGCAGCGGGGAAGGCCTGCCTCCCTGGCCTGATGCTGCCTGCGTGGCTCTGGAGGCTCTGCAGAGGTCTGCGGAGGCCAGGGAGGCAAGCAGGCGCCATTGGGATGGGCCGGGAGGTGGGTAAGGAAGCACGGGTAAGAAAATAATATATAAAAATGTATAAATCTTAAAATTAATATGGCGTTCCTACTTTGCGGATTTTCACTTATTGCGGGTAGTCCTGGAACGGAACCCCCCTCCCTCAATAAGTGAGGCAACACTGTAGTAATTTTGCTACAGGGATAGTAACTAGAAAGTTTCTATGAGTTAAAATGAATTTTAAAATACTACAACTATGCCATGGCTGCCAAGCTTACAGTGAAAATAAATCATCACAGATTATTTATCATCCAAAAATCCCAACATAATTTGAGGGTTCAAAAGAGAACATACTGGAATATAATTCATTTTGCCTCTGACCAGCTGAATATGCTTAGGATTTGAAATACAGTTTTTCCTCATAGTTCTCAAACATTTAAACTTTTTTCTTTCCACACCTCCACATCCAAAACTTTCTCCATGAAGTGCTTCATCACTTAGAACTGATGCCAAGTTGAAGTATGGAGATTCTCACATGCAGCTGCTTTACATTTCTAACAGTAAAGACACACAAGTACTATACTACTCCAATACAGTACTGGCATTAGAACAGAAACAGAGTATGATAATATTAACTCTCTTTTCCTCTTAAACAAATCCACAGATCACCATGTAGTTCTTTTTTTCCCTGACTCACACTGTACTGATAAAGAAATGGTGATTTGTACACAACTTTATGTCAATAACTGGTGGTGAGGAATCTTTCGAACACTTCATGGTATCAAATTTTCAAGAATTCTTTCCCTTTAACACTTCAGTGGTCCTCTTTTCTTAAACTATCCAACCAAGGCTTTGGAGACCTATCCTGCGTATGCTTACACAAAAATCTCTCACCTTTACTTACATCAGCTTTTACTTTCAAGCCATCTTTTACATCCAGCTTTTGACTTCCTAAAGTTCAGCCTATGCTTGTTTACGTTGAAGGATTCATGAATTTTGGCTAGCCTTGATGTTCAACACCAAGCTACACAGAACTTTTAGAAATAGCCTAAGCACTTCCAAAGTGTACACTCTAATCTCTATCTATATAACTATTTCTTTTCTTAAACCTGAGAGACACTTCCAAAGCACCTTGATCCTTATGAGTCTTTCAAAAATGTTCAAAACTTTCAGACCTCACAGCAGAACAGAATCTTCTGCTAGAATTAAAAACCTACTCACTGGTAGCAAGCTGAATATGTTCTAATGAATTTAATGGCCTTGTGAAGAAAGACAATGGAGGTGTAGCAGATCAGGGTTTAAGATATACTGTATGCTCTATAAGACACAATGCATGTCCCAATGAGGAAGAGCTGGGCGTTACACACATCACTTTACTTTTTATATATCAGACTATGCCAATAAAGTTACCATTATAGCAAATAAAACTACACCAATCAAATGGTATCCTTTACTACAAAACCTTTGAAGTTTTCATTGTAGTCATAAAACTAAAGTTGAGACAAGCCTAATTTTTTTTCATTAGATTTTAAATTCAAGCTTTATTTCCAATTTTATCCATTTGCCTTGAAATGGGAGATGTTTAGCTTGCAGTATAATTTGGCAGCATCCAGAGAGGCAAAAGTTCACATCAAGGGAGTAAGGGATCAGACATTCAGTTGATTATTTAGCTATTTTGACAGAGCTAGAACTTTCTGTCACTCTGGATAGAAAAATAGAGAAGGCAGAATGAGGGAAAGGGGCACAATGGATTGCTTGGGATGTTATTTTGCCATTTTCCTCATAAACTTACAACCTTGGTCTATCGTTGCCTGTTATATTGAGTTTGCAAATGCCTGCTCAAAAAGCCGGGTTTAAACCTTTTTGCGAAATGTTAAGAGGGAGGGGGCCGATCTAATATCCCTAGGAAGGGCATTCCACAGCCATATACCCACTTGCCTTGTTTCTAACAAACCTCACAACCTCTGAGGATGCCTGTCATACTACATCATCACACTAGCAAATGAATCCACTTAAAAACCGGTTTCTGCCTCCTACAGAATTCTGGGGTTTGTAGTTTAGTGAAGCTATTAAAGGCTCCTCCCTAAACCCCAGAATTCTGCAGGAGGCAGCAACCAGATTTAAAGTGAATTCATTCTCTAGTGTGATGAGGTGATGTGGGTGAAACATCAGGAGAGAATGCTTTTGGAACATGGCCATACTTCCTAGAAAACTCACAGCAACCCAGTGATTCCAGCCATGAAAGATTTTGACAACACTTGTGAAAAAGCTTTTAAAACTCCACGTTTCATACATGACCACTTCATGCAGATAATGCTGTTAATGATACTATAATAGATGTCAAGGTAATATAAGCAAAACGACATAAGCAAGATCTCATTTTTAAAAAGTAGGTTGAACTACCACTCAGGCAACAGGATTTCCTGTAGGTTTACCACAACAACATCTGTTTCTCACAAAACTCTTTTCAGAACCAATATCAGCAATGAGTCTTATGTCACTGTAAGTGTTATTTGGCATAAACTTTTCCAGCTGGCACAAAATTATACACCAAAAGAATCTTATGAGTCCTTAGAATCTTTGCTGCATTTGCTGCTATAACCTTAAAGGCCGTCGATTTCCCCAAACAAGTCTCTTTAATAGCAATCTAGCCCTACAATGAGATGCTACAACAGACTGGACTAGCACTGAAACTCTATTAGTCATAATAAACTGGTGATAATTTAACAATTTTTAAAATTGTAATTATTTTTTAAAATGACTGATTTTTCAGCTGTTTACATTGGCTTTGGAAGGAAGGCAGATTGTGAAATGAATAATTATTATTGGTGGACTCATTCCCCAGAACCTTTAAGGCAGGCCAGGGCAAACTTGAGCTCTCCAGGTGTTTTGGACTCCAACTCCCACAATTCCTAACAGCCTCAGGCCCCTTCCTTTCCCCCCTCAGCCGCTTAAGCAGCTGAGAGGGAAAAGGAAAGGGCCTCAGGCTATTAGGAATTATGGGAGTTGAAGTCCAAACACATGGAGGGCCAAAGTTTGCCCAGGCCTGCTTTAAGGGATAACTTTAGCGTAGGGAGTATCTATTGTAGCTCTAATGAGGTTCAATTATCCTTTTAACTGCCATGGCTGTGGAATTATGGGATCTGTAGTTTGTTGGGGCAGCAGGACTCTTGGGGCCCTTCCACACAGCCCTATAACCAAGGATATCAAGGCGGAATAACCCATAATATCTGCTTTGAACTGGAATTTATGTATTTATTTATTTACGACATTTATATGCTGCTCTTCTCACCCCAAAGAGGACTCAGAGCGGCTTACAAGTTATATATATATATATATATATATATATATGCACAATATATTATATTATTAGCATAGTACAGTATCAGTATTATATATCACTATATTGTACTATACCATTATATTGTAATATTATTAGTAATATTACATGTAATATGAAATATATAATTATAATATCATATATTATTATTACATTGTACTACATTATAATATTATAAATATTACATGTATATACAATATATTATATATATATATATATATATATATATATATATATATATGGCAGTGTGGACTCAGATAACCCACTTCAAAGCAGATGTTGTGGGTTATTCTGCCTTGATGTTCTGGCTGTGTGGAAGGGCCCTTGGTCAGAGAAGGCTAAAAACCTGGTAAAGCTATCCATATTTTCCATGAGCCATGGCAGTGAAGCCATTAATTCTTCACTGTAGATACACCCTTGGACATCCCACAACGAAAACCACCCCACACGTCCTCATTATCGTGCCCAATATACGCCCCCTTTCACCCCAGTCCTGGAATGGGACTTCCCTTCCCAAAGCGAGGAGGCAACAAGCGCAGGCTCAGGGACTCCAGTCCTGGGATGTACGCATGCGCAATGGGACTCTCCTCCCCTCCCCTCCTCCCCGCTCCTGCTCCCTCAAGACCCGGCTCCCACGGCGCGAGAGGCCTCTTCCCTCGCCCGCCCACTCACCCGCCTCGGGCCCATAAGCGCGCGGCCCTTCCCGGGAACGCCGGCCATGCAACCTCCTTCCCTCAGGGCCAGCTCGGCCGCGGATCCTGCCAGCGCCGCGAACACCCGACCCACCACAGTCAGGTGACCACCTCAGAACCGCCTCCGCCCCCTGCGCGCTCATTGGGCGCCGGATTCCGATGACGTCCACTTTCTCCCTCTTTCCTCCCTACGCGGCGCCTTTCCCCTTCTGTCTTGATGCGCATGCGTCGCTCTCGCGCTCTCTTCTTCCCCCCCCCCACATTTTCTCAGGTAATTGAGCGGCGCGTCGTCATTGCTCCGAAGGTCTCCACGCGAGCGTCCCTTCGCCAGTGGCGCGCGCTTGATTCAAGGTTCTCGCGCCCAAAGGGAGGTTTGCCCAGCATGAGGCGTTTCCCGCGCCTCAGTGTTGGGCTGTACAAACACATCGAAACGATCAGCCAGGCATTGAAGCTGCAAGGCCATCAAATACTAATCATGGTCGCCAATTACAACATAATAATATAATAATTATAATATATTAATAACATAATATATAAATGTCGTTATATACATATATATATATACTAGCTGTACCCGCCACACGTTGCTGTGGCCAACCTTCCCTCCCTCTTTCTGTTTTTTCTTTCTCTCCTTCCTCCCTCTTTCTTCCTTCCCCTTTTTCTTTCTCTCCTTCCTTCTCTCCTTCCTCTCTTCCTTCCTCCCACCTTTCCTTTCCTCTTTCTCCCCTTTCTTCCTTCTCTACCTATTCTTGGACTGCAACTCCCAGCAGTCCTCCTGATCCATCTATCCACCTACCTACCTATCTCTATGTAATCTATCTATCCGGAGGATTGCTGGGAGTTGCACTCTAGGAATAGGAAATTGGAGATATGCAGGGATTGGGATGCTCTCAAAGAAATGCAAGGAGAAGAAAGCTTGCACCTTGGAAGCAGTGCATATGGATCATCCTCCTCTCCTAAAGGGCCTGGTCTAGGGGATGCTGGGAGTTGTAGTCCAGAAGAGGGTGTGGATATGCTATTATGTGTTTTGTTTGCTGGGGAGTCGTTTTTGCGCATGTGCTATTGCATATTTTGCTTTTTTTGGCTTTTAAGTTGCTTCCGCTATGTTTTCCAGTGTTTTTATGAGTGGTGGTCACTCGTTGGCCTCATAGGTGTATTGTGCCCAAATTTGGTGTCAATTCATCCAGTGGTTTTTGAGTTATGTTAATCCCACGAATGAACGTTATCTATCTATCTATCTATATACACACACACACACACTTGGCTCTTCAAGCAAGCTTTTGGAAATGCAGTGGAATAGTTAACATGAAACTATCAATAATGAACATGGTGTATAGTGTGTATAATTGTTTGTCATAAAACTGAAAACCTTGAATAAAGATTATTTAAAAAAAAATAATGAACATGGGTGATTGTATGATAGTTGGGTCCCCCTGCTATGAGCGCTACACATGCTGCAAAGGGAAGGGATTGCATGGTGGAGAGAGGAACCGGAGTGAGAGTGGGGAGAGCGAGACACTGAGGGCGGGAATATACTTTATAATATAATAATAACACTTTATTTGTATCCCGCTACCATCTCCCCAAGGGACTCGGCGCGGCTTACATGAGGCCAAGTCCGCAATACATCAATAAACAGAACATCAATAAAAAAAACATCAATAAACAATCAATGCAATATAAATCATAATCACATAAACAAAATAGACAATAAGCAATCAACAATAACATATAAACATTTAAAACCAAAGGCCGGGCCAAATGTGATAAATTAAAATTAAAAAATAGTGCTTATGTGCACCAGGTAGGATATAATTGGGATAGGATTTTTAGAGAGAATGATGGAAAGCAGTAGTAAAGTGCATTTTGAGGACATAATGCTGAGGGTTTTCCTTATTCTGGGAAGGCACACTGGAACAACCACGTTTTCAAGCTCCTCCTAAAGACTGCCAGAGATGGGGCATGTCTGATGTCTCTGGGAAGTGAGTTCCAGAGTCGGGGGGCCACCACCGAGAAGGCCCTTTCCCTCGGCCCCACCAATCGCTCCTGCGAAAGAGGAGGGGCGTGAGCAGGGCCTCTCCAGATGATCAAAGAGATCGTATGGGTTCGTATACAGAAATGTGGTCATTTCAGTTGCATTTGAAGGAAGGATAGTAAGGAGGGGAGGGTAAGGGTTGGGATTAGGGTTAGGGTGAGGGTAAGGGTTACATTTTAGGGTTAGGGGTTAGTGTTAGAGCTAAAGTTATTATCTGTTATTATCTGTGTCTTACCTGGCTTACATTACCTCAGTCTCTCACTGCCCCCCTCCCCCCCCCCCCCCCCCCCCCCCCCCCGGTCTCAGTAACGTGTTCCATTCTGTGTTGCAGAAACAGCGTAATGCTGGTAGCAGGGGGACCCAGCTATCATACAACCACCTGAACATGGAATAGCTAGAAGATGCTATTGGAAAATGATTTTAACAGGACAACACTGGTGACTATATGATTTAATGATTGTAATGGTTTTTATATGATTATGCTAATTGTTTTAATCGTATTTTTATGAATGTATGGCATCGAATGGTTGCCAATCTGTAACCCGCCTTAGGGCTGAGAAAGGCGGCCTATAAATGTAGTAAATAAATATAATAGAATAGAATAATAACATAATAATATATAAATGTCATAAATAAATAATAAAAATAATAAAGCTTCATTTATATACCACCTTATCTCCCCAAGAGGACTCAGGGTGGTTTCCAACATAAGGCAAAACATTCATTTGCCAGAAAGGAAAACCATACAAACAAATTAAAATAAACATCAGAAAGCAAACGTAAAATTCTGCTAAAACAAACACAAAAATTTAAAAACCTTTATAACTCTATCAGACAAGTTCAAAATACCATTGGGCCAGAATTGCAACATGGACATGGCCCACTATGAAACGGCTGGGCAAGGGCTAATGGAATAGAGTATCATGGGCCAGGGAAGTGGATAAAGTGCAGAGCCTACGGACTAATCATTCTCAAAAACCAGCCAGGTTTTGAGGTCCCTATGGAAGGAGGACAGTGTGGGAGCTTGCCTAATCTCTTTGGGGAGGGAGTTCCAAAGTCAGGGAAGGCCCTGGCAGATCTTCTAGCCCGTGCAGGTTCATAGGTGGAGATGCGATCATGAAGAGAGGCAGAGCCCAAACATTAACACTTGCCTCAAGCCGACAAGAGTTCTTTCTCCCACCCAGAACTTTCCACAGACATATACACTCCACTTGCCTAGTTTCCAACAGAAACCTCAACCTTTGTTTTTGTGAAATTATATTATATTAGTGTAATTATGTTTTATTTAAGTTTTATTTAAGTAGCTGTATTTCGTATTACTTTAACCTTAATTATTTTCTGGTAATTAGTTTATTACTGTCCATTTTGCATTCCTGATGATGTGTGATTTTAAATTATGGCATTGAATATTTGCCTTTTTATATGTGCATAAACTGCCCTTTGAGGAGAGAGGATGGTCTAGAAATTATTATTATTATTATTATTATTATTATTATTATTATTATTTCCCAAATTTTTCATAAAGCTTTCCATTACCAGGATTGGTTTCATTCACAAAATTTGGCGTAGAAAACGAAGCTTGTGCTTCTCTGGCTTTCTTCCAGTTTCCATTAGTGAGAATTTATCAGTTTATATTGCTTTGACAGAAATACGCTGCTACTGGTAGAAAACAAATATGCTTGAGCTAATTAGGAGCAATATTAATAATTCAGCTGTTTTTCTTGGAGTGACATTTGATTCTGCTGTAATTAGTGTGTTTATTTCTAACCCCTTTCTGTGAAAAACCAAAATATTCTCAGTTGGATCCAAAACTTAGCTCTGGGTTTATTATTTATTTATTTATTTATTTCATTCACTTATACCCCGCCCTTCTCACCCCTAGGGGGACTCAGGGCGGCTTACATAAAGGGCACAATTAGATGCCCAAATCACACAACAAGTAATCCAAAAAATATAAAATTCAGCAGTTAAGTTAAAAACAACAATACATAATAAAACATAATCCTAAAAACAATCTCATGTCAGAGTCCATATGTCAGAGTCCATACATCCGTTCTATTCCATTTGTCCTTGTCTGTCACCGGTCCTTGATTTAATTATCAGAGTGACCAAAGGCTTGGTCCCACATCCAGGTCTTTAGTTTTTTTCTAAATGCTAGGAGGGAGGTCGCCGATCTAATCTCCCCGGGGAGGGCGTTCCACAGGCGGGGGGCCACCACTGAGAAGGCCCTGCTCCTCGTCCCCGCCAGCCTCACTTGTGACAATGGCGGGGTCGAGAGCAGGGCCTCCCCAGAAGATCTTAAACTTCGAGGTGGGACGTAGAGGGAGATCCGTTCGGACAAGTACACTGGGCCGGAACCGTATAGGGTTTTATAGGTCAAAACCAGCACTTTAAATTGTGCTCGGAATTGGATCGGCAGCCAGTGGAGCTGACGCAACAGGGGGGTGGTGTGCTCCCTGTACGCCGCTCCGATGAGCAATCTGGCTGCTTCTCGCTGGACTAGTTGGAGTTTCCGAGCAGTCTTCAAAGGCAACCCCACGTAGAGTGCGTTGCAGTAATCCAACCGGGATGTGACAAGAGCGTGGACCACCGTGGCCAGATCCGACTTCCCAAGGTACGGGTGCAGCTGGTGCACAAGTTTTAATTGTGCGAAAGCTCTCCCGGCCACCGCTGAGACCTGGGGTTCCAGGCTGATGAGTCCAGGATCACTCCCAAGCTGTGAACCTGCGTCTTCAGGGGGAGTGTAACCCCGTCTAGCACAGGCTGTAACCCTATACCCTGTTCGGCCTTCCGACTGACCAGTAGGACCTCTGTCTTGTCTGGATTCAATTTCAATTTGTTAGCTCTCATCCAGTCCGACACAGCAGCTAAACACCGGTTCAAGGTCTGGACAGCCTCCTTAGTGACAGGTGAGAAGGAGTGACAGATTTGGACGTCATCTGCATAGAGATAGCATCTTAGTCCGAAACTCCGAATGATCTCTCCCAACGGCTTCATGTAGATGTTAAATAACATCGGGGACAAGATTGAACCCTGTGGGACTCCACACAACAACGGTTGTGGGGCCGAACAGGTGTCACCCAATAACACCTTCTGGGTCCGTCCCTCTAGGAAGGATCGGAGCCACCGCAAAGCAGTGCCTCCGAGCCCCATATCCATGAGGCGGCCCAGAAGGATACCGTGATCGACGGTATCGAAGGCCGCTGAGAGGTCCAGCAGAACTAACAGGGACACACTCCCCCTGTCTAGCTCCCGGCGAAGATCATCTACCAAGGCGACCAAAGCTGTCTCAGTTCCATGTCCCGGCCTAAAGCCAGACTGTGCCGGATCTAGATAATCAGTGTCTACCAGAAATCCCTGGAGTTGTGTTGCCACCACACGTTCCATGACTTTGCCCAAGTAGGGGAGATTGGAAACTGGCCGATAGTTGTCTAATTGAGTGGGGTCCAGTGATGGTTTTTTCAACAGCGGTTTTATAATAGCTTGTTTTAAGCTCGCTGGAATCCCTTCCTGTAAGGAGGCATTAACCATCACCTTCACCCACTCTGCCAAACCCCCTCTGGCTTCCTTGATCAGCCAGGAAGGGCAGGGGTCTAGGATGCATGTGGTGGGTCGCACCTCTCCAAGGATCCTGTCCACATCCTCAAGCTGAACCAATTGAAACGAATCCAACAAAACTGGACAAGCAGGTGCTCTCGTTACATCCCCAGAGACTGCCGTTAACATGGCGTCGAATCCAGACCGAATCCGCTCAATTTTATCCGCGAAGGATCGAGCAAATGCTTCACAGCGAGCCACCGAGTTATCCGAGGCCTCGCTTTTTGGCGGATTTAACAGGCCCCTGACAACTCGAAAAAGCTCAGCTGGACGATTCTTCGCTGATGCAATATTGGCTGTGATGAATGTTTTCTGAGCTGCCGCTATTGCCACACCGTAGGACCTTAAAAAGGCATTCAGGTGTGTTTGGGCTGGATTGGTGGGATTCTGGCGCCACACGCACTCTACCTCCTCTTCTTTCGCTTCATCGCTGCCAGCTCCTCAGTAAACCAAGAGGCTGGTTTAGCTCGGTTACTCGAGAGGGGGCGTTCCGGAGCGATGGTGTCAATTGCCCTAGTCAATTCCAGCCAGAGACCAGAGCATCGACAGTGTCGCTAGCCAAGAAGGTGGAAAAATCCCCAAGAGCCGTCAGGAAACCATTTGGATCCATCAGTCTCCTGGGGCGGACCATTCTAATGGGTCCACCACCCCTGCGAAGGTTAGAAGGCACAGTTAGTCTAAAACTGATCAGGTGGTGATCGGTCCATGGCAAAGGGGCGATGGTCGGCTCCTCCATTCCGTCACCCTCATCCCATCCCTGAATGAAGACCAAATCCAGGGTGTGTCCGGCACTATGGGTGGGACCAGATATTAGCTGGGACAGGCCCATGGTTGCCATGGCGGCCATGAAGTCCTGAGCTGCTCCTGAGAGAGAGGCCTCGGCATGGATGTTGAAATCTCCCAGGACCAAAAGCCGTTGGAAGTTCAACACCATGTCCGAGACCACTCCCGCTAGCTCAGGTAGGGAGACTGTAGTGCAGCGGGGTGGTCGGTACACTACCAGAATCCCTATCCTGTCCCGGTCACCTATCCTAAAGCCGGCACATTCAAAGGAAGATGATTGTGGGATGGGACACCTGATCAGTGGGATATAGTCCTTATAGACCACTGCGACTCCGCCTCCCCGCCCTCCAAGCCTTGGTTGGTGCTGAACAGAATAACCTGGTGGACAGAGTTGGGAGAGATTAACCCCTCCCCCCTCGTCCAACCATGTTTTTGTTATACAGGCCAGGTCGGCTTGTTCTTCTTGGATTAGATCTTGTATGATGAAGGTTTTTCCATTTACCGACCTGGCATTGAGCAGCACCACCTTTAGCTTGGAGGGGCCACCATCTTGGCACCTCAGTTGTATTTTGTCAGGAGTAAGTTTTGGAATTGCCAATCTATTTTTGTTAATTTCGGGCCGAACAATAGTGTTGATTTTTGGGATTGCCAATGTCCTATTAAAAATTTTGGGCCGAATTTGCTTTTGTCTTTGATTTCTAGCATCTTTAGGAGTAGCCAATTTATTACTGTAAATTTTGGGCCAAACTGGAAATTTTATTCTCCCTTTCCCGTATCTCCCCCTACCAGTCACCACCTCTATGGCGGCTCCCCCACCCGCGGTCCAACTCCCCCGGGGATATTCCCTTCAATTCCAGCAGCTATAGTCTCATTAATAGGCACATGCTTACCATTATTGTTATCTGTCTCTGGGTTCCGATGATTCCATCCCTTAATGTTGACCATTCCCTCTAGTGTATCGAGGGCTATAAAGTGTACTCGTGCTGAAGCCGAAACAAAGTGCACTTGTGCTATGATTGTTATAAAGTGCACTTGTGCTAGAGGTTGGAGGGATAACAGTAGCAGCAAAGGCAGAGCAAGCATTGACATGTGGATAACAATAGTATATCGATGTTAACAATACTGTGCTTACCCCAATTAGTGTGGGAACCCAGAGTGAAGAGCATAAAGTGCAATTGTTTTCGTAATGATATGGTTCTGATGAAAGGACCAAGTGCTTAGGTTAAAGTGACTTCGTGTTGAGTAGTTCTAAGGTTTTTAAGTGCAACTAATGCAGAATTTACTGGCTTCTAGAGTGAAACCACTTTCCAACCCCTAAAACAGGACAACAATTCACACCCGGAAACCCAGCTCCCTGGGCCCGTGGAGCAACAATCCGGCACCCGGGGACAGATCTCCAGGTCTTCTTGACTGTCTTGAGTGGGGAATTCTCCAACAGAACAGATGATAGTCTGTATAATGATGGTAGAATCTGCAGTTGTTGCTAATTAACAGCACGCTTCATAGGTTGTCCATTGTGTGTTAGAAATTATTGCACTTTTTATCTAAGCCACAGAGGGCAGTATAGGGGAACGAATGCCTAGTTCTTTAGTGTGGAGCTCTGCAGATTACAATTAAAGCCCTGAATCATGAGCGGACAGAGCTTCCGGATTTCTGTTTAGGCTCAACTGTCCACGATGTAAAGTCTTATTTTGAGCCCAACGACCGCAATATGATGTTACTTATTGTTCGTTATTGCTATCACACTATACAATACAATAATACAATACAACAATATCACAGTTCACAAAAATCACATACACATACGCATTGTCACGCACTGTCAGCAATAATGCGGTGGATATGCCAGTTATATTTCTAAATATCGGAAGTGGTTTTGTATATTTTTATTTTCTAACTGAATAGAGGAAAAAATAAGGTATTTCCATTAGTTTCCATGCTTCAACCGCCATCTATCCCGTCCTCTCTCAAATTATACATAGCATTGGCAAGTGGGGTTTATATATCTGTTAAATGTCCAGGGTGGGAGAAAGAACTCTTATCTGTTTGAGGCAAGTGTCAATGTTGCAATTGGCCAGCTTGATTAACAAACACTCTGATGAAATACATTGGGGGAGTGGGGAGGAAAATATTTGCTCCAACTTCTGTTTCCCATTAAAAGGTAAACTGCCAGTGGAGGGAGCTCAAGCCCCGCAGTGCTATGAAATCTAACCATGAAGGAGGAGATACTGGGATGAAGATCCAAAGATTAATATGTAAATTAATGTTCCCAGCATTAGAGACAAACAATTATTTTTACATTATGTTTTAGAAGCCTGTTTTTTCCATCCTATTTAAGGAAGTAGTTTCTTGCAGCATAAAAAGGAGAAGGAAAGTGGGAGGATAGAAAAAGAAATCAGGCAGCACCTTTAAGACTAATTGGTTTTTATTTTGGCATGACCTTTCCTGGATATACATTCCAGGTCCCTACCTGAACATGCTCATGGATCATGAATTAGGAGTGAAACAGTTCCTCCAAGCATTTCCACATCATGGCTAAGCGGGTGCTTGCATAATTTTATATACAGTAGTATACTTTTTCACGAACATTTTTAATGCTTTAAGATCCATGAGCATGTTCAGCTAGGAATCCCAATTAAACAAGAAAGCCTCTGGTTTCACTACTGATATGTAAAATTATTACTCAAAGCATTGTCCAGTCTAAAGGGAAACATTACTATGTTCCCTTGAAAAAAATATTTATTTAATTTGTGTACTACCTTTCTCCCAGATGGCTCCCAGATTTTTAAAAAAATGGCTTATAAATCTTATGTATCTTCTGCTTTTGTTCTGCGTGAAGTATTTATATACAATCATAACTCTTGAATCCACTGTTGTTCGAGTTCATATTGAGAAATGCAGACAATTCCTTAAAGTAAACCACATTTTTTTCTCTTTTTACTTTGAGTTGTTATGAGTTGTTATGATACTTTGTGGTTTTCCTTGATAAGACACACAACACAAATAAAGACATGACTCTTGAATGAGACAGCAGAACGGCTTTAATTCTGAGGACTGAACTTTCAGAACAAAGATAAAGATCAGTAGCTGAAAGCTCATATAAAAAGCCCCAGTTTCACCATGACTGTGCTGTTATGGTGCACGCAAGAATTACTTTTTGTCCTTGAAAGCATAGGGATAATGAAGTTTTCCTTCAAAAAAAGTAACTGAAGCATTTGCACACACACACACCAGATTAAATTACAATGTCTGATCTCTGGAAAGGATTTTGAAAGACCATCATAGAACACAGTGGATAGCATTCATCTATGGCAAAGACAGAAGAATGGGAGGCAAAGAGAGCAGTCAAACTTTACAACATGTACCGGTATTTCCTTTTGCTTTCATGAAACCTGCAGTTGTTGGGCTGTGACCTGTCCCTACAGAGTTTTTTACTGTAAGTGCTAAGCGTGTATGATGCAGACAAATAGAAGTCCATGCTGCAAATGCTTTTATCTGATCTTATCTTCATCTTACATTGGAGTGCTGTAAGTGGATGTTGACTTCCATTGCATCCCACACTCTGTTCACTGTAAAATAATGACAGGAAAATTGTTTATACTAGGCCTGCTATGATATCACATCATTCTTGGGGAATAGTCAATTTCTGGAGCAGTATATGACTGTGTGTGTGTGTGTGTGAGAGAGAGAGAGAGAGAGAGAGAGAGAGAGAGGAGCGACTTGAGAAACTGCAAGTCACTTCGGATATGAGATAATTGGCCGATTGCAAGGACATTGCCAAGGGACGCCTGGATGTTTTACCAGCCTGTGGGTGGCTTCTCTCTCACATGAGAAGCTGAAGCTGACAGATGGGACCTCACCCCACTCCCCAGATTCGAACCACCAACCTTTTGGTCAGTCCTGCCGGCACAAGGATTTAACCCACTGTGCCACCAGAAGATGTGTTGTGCCATCATTATATTCCTCCCTGCCTCCTTTTTATGCTGCCAAGAACCTGTCACATTTTACCTCTTTAGGCATATCTGAGTTGGAAAAATTGGTGTGACAGTAGTGTTTCACCATTGTGAATCCTGGAAAAACTTGGAGCTTGGAAAAACTCGTTACGATTATAGCTTCCAGAATTCCTGCAGCCAGCAAGGCCCTTCAGTATACATTGTCAGTTAAGGTGTCATAAAATAATCAGAAAATATGAAAATTATATTTTATTTGGTATTTTCCTCTGGTGAAGTACCACTTGGTGGGCTACAACACCTCTGGCATTGACTGACATGTTAAAATATGTGCATTTTTAGCATGCCGATATTATCTATGCTTCAGAGTTGTTTGTCAATAAATGCATACTTCCCATCTTTTTAAATGAATATCCATTTAAACATATTTTTAAATGTCTCAAAGTTCTGTGTGTTTCTCTTCATTTCTGTAACAGCCAACTGTAGAGGAAATGAGGCAGCACAAAAATAGAAACTGCTGACTGAACTCCCATCATGTTTTTCTGGACTCTTTCTGTTTTTGAGAGATTGGCTTTGAAGAATTACTACAGTTAACGGTCCACCGCTCCCGGTCAGATTTCACATTGATGATGCATTTCAGAGCAGACTCTTATCTGATGTCTTGACAGAAAGTAATTGATCTTTGTAACTTACATAAGTTCAGCTTTTTCTTAACTGGTGAACCTTTGTTGTTAAGAATTACATTACAATGGTAACATTTCTGGAAGGGAAATGTTGTTTTCTGAAATGTGTTCAAGCAGATTGACTTAAACATAAGTATATATGGTAGCCTGCAATTGTATAATGCTGATCCTTCCATTGTTGGACTGAGGCTCCTATTATCCTCAGTTTGTATGGTCGGAGATCATGGATAATAGGAATTATAGTACAATAACATATGGAGAACTATAAATTCTCCAACTCTTTCATAAATATTTAGCTCATTGTAAGTTCAATTGCCTATTAGACCCTGTATCTGAGTAAAGGTAATTAGGATTGGATTCCTTGGATTACTCATTGATGGATGCACAACAAGGTAACATCAATGTATTTTGAAACTGGAATTGGAAGTATCCTCACAGAAGAACAATCCCAATGATCTTTCCATTATTATTTTCCCTCTATTCATTGCCTCTGAGAGAAAAAAGTATTTAGTGAATGTCCTTTTCTTATATGATTATTTTATTATCGTTGTATGACTTTCAACGTTCTTGAAAACTTCCTTGATTCTAGACTGGTATTGAATAATAAGTAAGTAAGTAAGTAAGTAATTGAATAATAGTAGTAAGTAATTGAATAATAGTAAGTAATTGAATAATAATGCTTAAAATAGGAAAGTGCATCGATACTCAAAAAGCTCCAGAGATCAAACCAAAATAATCATTTTGTTTGTTCAGCTGCACATGTCTGCGCTCACTGCTCATCTACTGCATTTATAAGTCACTCCACTTAAAACTGCTTATCTTTTCTAGCTATGAGTTTTTAATACATATAACCAAACATTATATTTCACAAACCTATAGCAGTGTGATTTTGACCCAAATGAAATCAGCATAGTTTTCATTTGGCTGATGATGAAAGCCCATATCACTATTTATCTCATATTTTCATGTCTCATGAATCCAGAAATGGCATGGACATACACTCAGAGGCAATGGAAGCTGGTGTCTCCAATGTCAGTTAGGCATTGAATCTGCTCTGGTATTTAGTCTGAACTTCAAAAAATATTTTTCAAATCTGCATTATATCAGAACATTCACATAACATTTGTAAGATGTTGCTATTGTGTATCATCAAGTCATTTTTGACTTATGAAGACTTTAAAGTGAACCTACCACAGAGTTTTTGGGGGCTGCAATTGTGGACTAACCCAAGGTCACTCCTTATGTTTCCACAGCCAAGCAGGGAATCAAAACATAGCCTCCGGAGTTGCAGACCAACACTCAAACCACTATAACCACACTGGAATTACTGTAAGATACATTTGTGAAATTATAAGATGAAAATGTAATTTATACAAATTAAGCTTCTAAACATGTGTAGGGAAATAATGGTTTTAATAGCAGAATCTCACTTTTTACATTTTGGAATAAATGTGTAAATGTGACATGAGCATCATTATACATATATGTTCATTAAAATGCACAGTGCTGTTTATATAGTTTACATTAAACTATAACATTCAACTGACATGCAAATCCTTAGTTAGTGACATCACTGGAGGGCAATGAGATTGAGTGTGGTTTGGACAGGAAATAACGGGCGTAAGAAATATGCTTAGTGCTGTAAAACATCACAACTCCTCAGCAACTTCCTTCTGAAGGAAACCAAAGCTAAGTAACCAATATGTCCCAATAACTTTTCATTGTCGGGGAAGTGTAACTTTAGATGTAATGGATCTCAATCTGCTGCCAATATTGTTTAGCCCCTGAGAAGCTATTAATAATCATAAAAATATTTTACATTAAGGAGTTTCCCCTGTTAAACTAATTCTCCAGTGTATTGCCTAGAGATGCCAGTTAACCCTTGCTGTGTTTACTTTTTATATTGCACCAACAGTTCTGCTTTGTATCTACTGTCTAATAGCATTTAAAATAGAAAAGACCCCAGGTTTCCAATGTGAGAAAACATGTGCTGGTAATGAACTAAAATGATATTTTCCCTTCCATTATGAAATAATAGCAACTTATGAGATCTGTTTTATTTATAATTTTCTTGATCTTTTTTTTAAAAAACCACAATGTTACAAAATCTAGATATTGTCTTTCTCAGCCCTAGTTGGAGATACCGGAGTCCATTTGTCTATAAAGTATGTCCTCTATTTATTTATTTATTTCACAGTTTTCTATACCGAGCTTCTCAACCTCATTGAGGGACTCAGCCCGGTTTCCAGCCATAAAAAACATATACACTCATTAAAATATCATATATCACAATTACAAAAACAACTTTAAAAACACTATATATAAAACTACAGTGGTCAGTCGTCCTATTAAGATGGATCTACATCAACTTCCATCCAGGGTCCTATGGTGTTGTCTCATTCATCGAAGGCCTGACTCCACAGCCACATCTTCACCCGTTTCCTAAATGTTAGGATGGATGGGGCGGTTCTGGCCTCCAGAGGGAGAGAGTTCCAGAGTCGTGGGGCCACCACCGAGAAGGCCCTGTCCCTCGTCCCCACCAGGCGCGCTTGCGAGGCCGGTGGGACCGAGAGCAGGGCCTCTCCAGATGATCTTAATAATCTTGATGGTTCGTAGGGGAGAATACGTTCGGAGAGGTAAACAGGGCCGGAGTCGTTTAGGGCTTTATAGGTCAACACCAGCACTTTGAATTGTGCTCGGAAGCTAATTGGCAGCCAGTGGAGCTGGCGTAACAGCGGAGTGGTGTGCTCCCTGTACCCAGCCGCTGTTAGTAATCTGGCTGCCGCGCGTTGGACTTGCTGCAGCTTCCGGGCAGTCTTCAAAGGCAACCCCACGTAGAGAGCGTTGCAGTAGTCTAAGCGGGATGTAACCAAAGCGTGTACTACCGTGGCCAAGTCAGCCCTCCCAAGGTACGGACGCAGCTGGCGCACAAGTTTTAATTGTGCAAATGTCCCCCTGGTCACTGCCGAAACCTGAGGTTCCAGGCTCAGCGATGAGTCCAGGATCACACCCAAGCTGCGAACCTGCGTTCTTCAGGGGGAGTGTAACCCCGTCAAGCACAGGCTGTAACCCTATACCCTGTTCGGCCTTACGACTGACCAGGAGTACCTCTGTCTTGTCTGGATTTAGTTTCAATTTGTTCTCCCTCATCCAGATCTAATAAAGCGGCCAAGCACCTGTTCATGACCTGAACAGCCTCCTTAGTGGTAGGTGGCAAAGAGTGATAGAGTTGGACATCATCTGCGTACAGATGACATCGCACCCCAAAACACTCCGGATGATCTCTCCCAACGGCTTCATGTATATGTTAAACAACATAGGGGACAGTGCTTTACGGGACTCCACAGTGCAATGGCCGAGGAGTCGAGCAGGAGTCCCCTAGTGACACCTTCTGGGAGCGACCCTCGAGAAAGGACCGGAGCCACTGCAAGGCAGTACCCCCAAGACCCATTCCCGCGAGGCGTCCCAGAAGGATACCGTGGTCGACGGTATCGAAGGCCGAAGAGAGGTCCAGCAGAACCAACAGGGACACACTCCCCCTGTCCAGTTCCCGGCGCAGATCATCAACTGAGGTGACCAAGGCTGTCTCAGTACCATGTCCCGGCCTAAAGCCAGACTCTGACAGATCTAGATAGTCCGTGTCCACCAGGAATTCCTGGAGTTGCGAGGCCACCACACGTTCCAGGACTTTGCCCAAGTAGGGGAGATTGGAAACTGGCCGAAAGTTGACAAATTGAGTGGGGTCTAGTGATGGTTTTTTCAACAGCGGTTTGATGACAGCTTGTTTTAAGCTGGCTGGAATCTTGCCTTCCCGAAGGGAGGCATTAACCACCACCTTTACCCACTCTGCCAAACCCCCTCTGGCTTATTTTACCAGCCAGGAAGGGCAGGGGTCTAGGGTGCATGTGGTAGGTCTCGCCTCTCCCAGAACCCTGATGACCTCATCGAGTTGAACAGATTGAAACGAATCCAACAAAATTGGACAAGCAGATGCTTGAGTTACATCCTCAGAGACTGCAGTTAATGTGGTGTCAAAGCCCGCGCGGATCAAAGCGACTTTGTCCGCAAAGAACTGAGCAAATGCTTCACAGCGTGCTGCCGAGTCGTCAGGGGACCCACTCGAGGTGGGATTCAACAACCCTCTGACTACTTGGAACAGGTCTGCCGGACGGTTCCTTGCGGACGCAATATTGGCCGAGTAGAAAGCATTTTGCGCGGCCTCTATTGCCGCGCCATACGCCCTTAGATAAAGGCGTAGACGTGTTCGGTTTGGCTCGCTGGGCTTTTTCCTCCACACGCTCTCTAGCCATCTCTTTGTTCGCTTTAGCTCCACCAGCTCCTCGTTGAACCAAGGGGCAGGTTTCTCTCGGCGACTTAAGAGAGGGCGCTCCGGAGCAATCGTGTCTATTGTGTCTACCCACAAATGTTGCACCTTAACACAATTCAGTAAAATAAAGATGCTCTTAATATTATAAAAAAGTTATTTCAGTACTTAGGCTGTTGATAGAAAAGCTTTTTGCTTGATAGAGATTTAATATTTTTCATACATATACCATTCTGATTGTTATAGTAAGCAGAAATCATCTGCTTTGTTGAAAGCTAAAATGTGGGAATTAACTGGAAAGGAAGGGTTATACTGATTTTAGTTTCGACAGATATTTGCATGTCTGTGAATACTTCTTTTTGTTTGGCACTATCAAGTCAGCTTTTATTTATGGGGTGTTTTTTTTGTCATGCCAAGAGCGACTTGAGAAACTGCAAGTTGCTTCTGGTGTGAGAGAATTGACCGTCTGCAAGGATGTTGCCCAGAGGACGCCCAGATGTTTTGCTGTGTTACCATCCTTGTGGGAGGCTTCTCTCATGTCCCCGCATGGAGAGCTGGAGCTGATAGAAGGAGCTCATCCGCACTCTCCCCAGATTCAAACTTGCGACCTGTTGGCCTTCAGTCCTGCCGTCACAAGGGTTTAACCCACTGCGCCACTGTTATTTATGGTGATCCTATTGATGAGATATCACCAAGAGGCTCATGTTTTGAAAACTCAAGACAAGTACTTTTTTAAAAAAATAATCTTTATTTGAAAAAGTTTTTTTTCTAAAAAAATGAGTTGCAATACAGTATCAAAAGCATACAATATAGCTTGAGATAGATACAAATATGAAATAATAAAGAACAAAAAAGATGGGAGCGGGGAAATGGTATGAGAGGGGGAGTAAGAGGGAGTAAGGGAGAAGATGTGGTAGAAAAGATGTAGAATAGTGAATAGAGGTAAGTAAAGAGATAGAATAAAGTCAAGATTTCTTGGCTTCCTGGTATCTTCTACAAGGTTCTAGC